CCAAAATCTCTGTAAATGTTTATGAAAATTAATAAAATATAATTAAAAAAAAAAGAATTTCAGAATTATCTGTACATCTGTTATAAAACTGACATCAGTTTTCTTCAGCCTACAAAACTGGTTACTTTGCCTCAGAATTTGTTTCCTTTCTTTAGTCATGTAGTTTAAGTCTGTTTACCAAGAGAGGAAATAACATCTTTCCTAGATCAGCATTTATCTCTTTGAAACTTTTCCCCCCAGTCATAAGTAAAGTGTATTTTAATCTGCCTGTTTGCCAGGAGGGAAGGTGTACCTTTCCTGAGTTAGCCTTTCCAAGGCCTGTTTTTCTCAGTTAAGTGTGAACTCTTTTGTAGGTTGCCTGTTTCCTGGTATGTGTGTGAATGGTTTTCAGATGTGGAAATTCTTTGATTTTACTAACAAAGGTGCATTGTTGAGTGAGTTGGTGTCTAACTCTGGTATAAAAGCTTAATGACCACTCCCAGATGGGGCCACAGGCTCTGAGAAGGATCTCCCTGCTTTCTCCCAGATCTGTAATAAAGTGCTTTATGGATAGGCAATCCGTCTGTCTTATTGGCAACTGATTACAGAAAGAACCCCTTGCGATCAGGAACAGGACAAGCTCTTGTTCATAGGGCGCTATGGGGTATAGTCGATGGCACCTAACAACAGGCGTGGCTGCTGAAGAGGTAGGTGGGTAGAGAGGGCTGAAGGCTGAAGTTTGCTGGCCGCAGCACTGACCGTGGTGGGAACATTATGTAGAATACAGTGGAAGAAGTCAGCAGTGGTGAGACCTCCGAAGCGATTTAGGGTAAGCTGACATTAGCCTCGGTTCAGAGAGAGATGGCTGGAGCTGCTGAAGGGTCGTGGGGGGCGAGTGGCCAGCGGGCGACAGTGGTCCAGCCGCGGGGCGCAGCGGGTCTGCAGGCGATCCCAGTCCTAGAGACAGAGAGAGGCGATGGCAGGAGGCAGACGTGCAGAGGCCACAGCGTGCGGTTCCCGGTCCTGAGCAGCGCCAACCCGAGCGGCCAGGGGTTCCAGGACGGCCGGGAAGCACAGGCAGTCCTGCGGCCAAGTTCAAGGGGACGGTCACGGTCACGCCGTCACCCTGTGATGGCCGACTTCAGTCGGAGCATCTGCAGGCACGTCGCTAACAACCGGTTAAAGACGTCAGAGGGCCCCGGGGCGCAGGGTCTTCGGGGTAGAGGGTCGGGGAAGCGCAGGGTCCGCGGGGCGCAGGGTCTTCGGGGTAGAGGGTCCGGGCAGCGCAGGGTTCTGGGCAGAGCAGGACTTGGCGCCGGTTGGCCCCGCCGCCGCCGCGGGTCT